TGGCTGTCCTTCCCAAGGGAAGATAAAACTACCTTGACAATTTAATCACTCTTGTTTAGCATGAATTATTGGCAGGTAATAGCCCCTGGGGAGCCATCAGGCTCAGGTGAATAACACAGTGACGCCTGAGGCTTAAGCTACTTGCAGTCGCATGAGCTAGCCACTGTGCAGCTAATGATACCATGGTCACCGCTGTCCACCTTCTGCAGTCGAACACACAGAGACCAGAAGACCAAGAGAGAGCCAGGAACCAGCATTGTCCATGCTCTGTACCTCTCCACCAGTCCCCTTGGGGCCAAAGACCCCCTTAAAGGAAGTTCCAAAGAGGCATTTCAATTGTGTGTCTGTAACCACAAAGATTCAAGAAGGGCCCTTCTCCTTCTGGCTAGAATTTTACTATGGGAAACAGATGCAAACCAGAAGGTTTCCAACATGGTGGGCAGGTGGACAAGGGGAACGGGGGCTGCTTTTTCCACTTTCCACTGCCTCATCTTTGGGCTTTCTTTCATTTTTCTCTGCCCTTTTCTGTGCAGTGTTTTTGCCTCCCTTGTAATCCCCCCTTCTTTCCTTTTCCTTAGCACCCTTCCTCCACAGATCCATCTCCAAAGACCATAGACCTCCTCCACAGACCAAAATGGAAATTCTAAGAAATGCTTTTGACTACCCATATTCCCTTCATTTGCCCTTAAATCTGAAAACCATTGACATCTACCCTCAGCTTCTATTTATCCCAGTTGACTTGTGCTTATATAAGCCTTGCATCTCCTTAGCAAAGAAGTTCTTCATGTAACTTCAGAGGATTTACAGTTTAAAACCTATTTTACTTTGGCCTCCTTAAAATTCCCTCACGTGCTGCCATCTCTGGTGGCTCTAAGATTCAGTATCTCCCACCTCCTCTATATCTATAGGGCCACAATTTAGTTCCTGGTTGGAAGAGGAGATAAAAGGATATTGAAGACCTCCCCACCTTAACCTACGCTTGCTGGCTCCTGACCATGAAGGTGGTGTCAAATGTCTCTAAAAGCCCCTGACTCCCGCCTCTCTCTGTGTGTACCAGCCTAATAATTGTCCTCCCAACTTAGATACCTGGAGTCTCACCAACAAAACCCCAAGCCCTCAGCCTTCCACATCCCATGACACTCTTGCAACTGAACCAGGCATCCTATCTTGCAGATCAAATTGAGATAAGATTAGAGACAGTGAATACAGAGAAGCAGAGAGCAGAGCTTGGGGAGTGGGGAGGGATGCCACCTGGACCCAGATCTTCAGGGGGTCTAAAATGGAATTTATATTAGATCTACCCCCTAAGTTCTGGACAAGAGTACTTAAAAAAAAAAAAAAGCAACATTTCTGTAGCAGGGCAGCTACAGAAGACTTACATGCTCCTGTGACATTGCTTTTGACTCCTGTTTCTGAGGAATGTAGAATTTCAGTGACTCTGATATTATGGCCATTGTCTCAATGGTACCAATGGATTGTGCAGACCTGTTCCGTGGGGCCTGTCCATGACATAGCGAAGAGCCAGCCTTCCTTATAGGGAATCAGAAGGTAATCTGTACCTTTCAAAGTCAGCGTGTCCAGGAGGGTGCAGCAGTGGTGTATGATCTCTTCAAAATGCTCTCCAATGGCCTGATCTTGAGAGAATATTCTGGAAGACAGCTTGGTTGGGTATTACAGCCTAGATATCTACTACCTAGCCTTTAATCCCTAGTAATCCTTGCCTCCTGGCAGTGTTAAAAAAAAAAAAAAAGAAAAGGAAGGAAAGGAAAGGAAAGTCTCCTTTTTATATGGTGAAGAGCTATTTTTCAACAAACTTTTAGTTCTCCAGGGAGACTATGTAATGTTAACAACTGGAAGAATCCTCTCCATCTAGGAGAATCCTCTCTTCACCAGCCTCTGGTACTCCCTGAGCTTCATCCTTCAGTGTCTTAGGCATGGTCTAAAGATGGTCCCTCAACTAAAGGAGGAGTGAGGACATTCCAGAAACTAAGACTTCATCCTCTGAGGTGATAACTTCTCATTTGATCCTGCACTTAATTCAGAAAGACAGTTTTCCAGAGAGTATCTCCTATTTGCTGTCCAGTGCCCTTCATGTTGTCATTGCCAGTCATACCAAATCTAGGTAATCTGCATAAGTACACTGAAGTAAGGTGATTGGGTTTTCCTTTCTATCTGTCCTTAGCCTGTTAGCTAGAACCACTAGCCAGGACTCTTTCTGAAAATGTTCCACCTCTGCCTCACCTATGGAATAATCACATTTCATTTATACAATTGCATGAACAAATTAAGTGCCCAATATCTTTAAACCCCTTGAAAATTACCAGATCGTTAGAACACAAAGATGAAATCATTGGCTGCTCAGTGCCTACCATTACTGGATAGAATGCCGTATGAAAACTCAGCCAGAGTGTTCAGAGTAGGTAAGCAGCTCTGTTGGCTCCCTCTTGAAGGGTAGTACAGGTAGGGTCTCCAGGCTCATGGGGCATGAATCTTCAGGGAATCTTTTTGCCCTTCTTCCCCAGGAAGACCACAGATAGGGAAACTATAAGCTATCTCAGGGGAACTGGGAAGAAATCTGGGAAAGGGTCAGAGGTGGATGGTGTAAGTACCTCAGGCTACCAACCAATTCTGAATTTAGGTCAAAAAGTAGAACCAGTGCTAGGTGGTCTTTCAAGACAGGGTACCAGGGAATCACAGAGAGTAGCAAACGCATAAACATGGCTCTGGGCTAAAGGTGCAGATGCCCAAGCCCAGCAGGTCCAGTCTCCCCTTCTAGGTCACCAAGGGATTCCACTTGCAGCCAGGCAGGGTACCAAAGACTGGAATGACTACACAAGATTATCTAGGAAATGTCCTTAGGGGGTTGGCTGTATGTCAGTAGACTGGGTTCTCTGAGGGTGAGGGCTGTATGTTAGGCTTCTTCCTATTGTTTCCACTTAGAAATCACCCAGTGATTGCTTTCTGATTTTATTATGAATGGTTAGTTATTTTTGAGACCATGGATCTTATGAACATCGTTCTTTGGATATGAACAGGCCTATATGAGACATTGACAAATACTGCTCTAGCAGGTCAACAGTGCCCTCTGAATAGCATAGCTTAAGGCCCAAGAAAAAAATTAATCTGTGATTCTCCAGATTCTCCCAAAGTGAGACTCTTAGGAGAGCTATCGTCACCTGGGCTGAGAACCCAACACAGGAGAGCCCCATCCTTCCTCTCCCTACTGCCCTCGTTGCTCCTTCTGTTTCTTGACTCCTACCATAGAGATGTATCCTACGGATTATTAATACATATTATTAAAATAATAAGATAGAATCAAGGTGATTAGAATACACAAACCCAGACGGGTTCTCTAAATTGTCTCCATTCTGGTCCAGTTCAGGACGGGATTGACCCAGAGGACTCTCAAACAGTTGCCCAGGGTTCTTAGGAGTGATGGGCAGCTTTGGCAGTTTTCAGGATGGATCCAAGAGGAGAATAATGGCCCACGCCTGCTGGGAACTCTATCTGATGCTCTGGCATTGCATGTAGTGTAGATTTACCTCCGTCTGACCCTCACACTCCCTCCCTCACTGAAGCTCTAGAAACACAGAACTCCTTAGCCATTAACACACGAGGGCAAGCACTCAAGTGGCTAGAGATGTCTTCCGTGTGTGTGTATGTGTATGTGTGTGTGCGTGCATGTGTGTTTCTATGTTCTATCTCAGCCTGCTAGCCAAATTCTAGTGACCCCACAGCCTCCAGGCCTGTGGACTGACCTGGCAGCTGATATTCCTCCTGAAGCAGAAACCAAGATCTAGAATGTGCTCTGTAAGGGACTAGAGAGGTGTCCCTTCCCTTCTTTTCCCTTGCCTCACCCTTTATCTCCGTCATTCCTGAAAAAGGACATTTTACCAATTTGCTGTAGGGAAAAAGGAATTTGCTGAGAAATCTGTTACCATAGAAGTATTTTCAGTCTGCAAGCAAATGTCTAGTTGTGCACATTTCCATCCATCAAAACTTCCATTACACGTTTTCCTTGTTTGTACCTTAAAAACAGAAACACAAGAGCAACCATCTGAAAGTGGAGGGTAAAAGCAATGTCATGATCTTCTAGGAAGAGTTAACAGCTCAAATGATCAGGACCAGTCAGGGGCTGAGCTCTGAGTGCTGGGGCCCAAAGAGTAGGGGCGTCTTCCCGGATTCGAGCTCAAGGAACTGGAGGTTGCCGTGGGGTACTCACCGGTGGCCAGTTTCTTCAGCTCCTGCCCCAAAATGAACTCAGCATTCAGGCCCATGAGAACAGCTATTTTGGGTGTTAGTAGTAATATCCTAAATCATGTGCAGAGCTTTAAAATGTCAAAAGCATTATTTCACACCGATGGCCAAGGCTCTCCACACCTATAGACTAGTAGCTAAGCCGGGCCATCTCCCGCCTGAACCTAAGCTTGAGGACTAGCCCAGCTGCAGAGGGGCTTGAGGACCACCTCTTTAGATCCTCCTTTAGTGATAACTAAAACTGAGTTTTCCCCTAAACTTCAAGGGCAATTCCCTTGACCTCCTTTGCTCAAATATGTTTGGATAGGGACATGCACTAGGGCATAAGCAAAGCCTTTCTCCTCCAGCTGGCAATGCCCAGGGTGAGCTAAAGTGCAGAAAGTACAAGCCCTCAGAGGTTATAGGACACATAACTCATTTTAGAAAACGAAACCAAACCTCCCTCCACAAAATTCAGAAGACCTCATGTGTAACAAGTGTGTGAATTATTTCATTTGTGGCCAGAGATGGTCTTGAGTAGGGAATGCCTTCGGGTCCTCCCTAGACGTGAGACCCACCTGTGCAGAGCCCACACTCAGAGTGATGTCCCTGTCCCTGCCAGGCCTGTGCTTTGTATTTCTTTCACTTGTTTCCTTTTGCCCTCTCCTGCCACGGTGTTGCTCCTGTGTTAGCCAAGACCTAGAGTACCAGGCATCTTCGTTGGAGACTCATTACAGCTTATTTCTATCTGCCTTTCTTTAAAGCCAGCTGAACATACCCAATGCTCTCCCTTTATGGTAAGACCGACCCTCCAGACCACGCTCTTAGCTTCTGTGACCCTCCTCTAACACCCCCATTCTCACCCCCCCGGTGCCCAGCATCTCTGGGAGCCCAGCCTCGCTCCCGCTGCATGTAGCCACAGTGTATGTCCTGCGCCTCGCCTGCCCGGTCACGTGTGAGCTGTGACGTGCTGTTGTGTAATGGTGTTCCATTCCCTCCCTGAGCTTTCCTCTGGGTGATAATTCACTGTGATCTTGACCATCTAATGAGCCACCGGGAGAGAACTGGACCCAAGGGCCATTTCCTGTTAAACATTCTGAGGACTCCACGGGCTAAAGTCTCTAGCTTTAATCCGATGTGGGAAATTTGCACAGGGCGCCCATGAGCACCCTGGTAAGGGCCTCCTGAGAAAAGAGGAAGGAGAGGGATGACCCAGCCGGGAGACAGAAAGTCAGACGATGACTTCCCACTAATCATCCAGGGTCTGTAACTACTGGCCTCCCGTGTGCTCTCAGTTTAAGGCCGCAGTAAACGGTTGTAAGCTGGAATCTGTTACTGAGTGTGGCTGAATATCCAGTCATTCCAACAAAGTGACCCATGAATTTTTCTAAATTCCCGAAGTTCATTCACATTAGGCTATGCAGAAAAACAAACTCAGGAGTTTGATGGGAGCACTCCTGATGTAGGACTGTGATTCCTTTGCCTAAAGTGATAGATGCCGCTAGGCATGACCTTGAAGTCTCCTTGGAACAGGCTTCTCTAAAAAGCTGCCATCACACGTTTCAAAAGTGAGCCAAGTGTGAGTTTTTAAAAGGACCCATGAGTGGGTTGAGTCCCTGAAAGTAGCATACTGGGGGCAAGATTGGGTCGGCGGCTGGTGCTTCTTAACACAGCGCATCCCAGGCTGGCTGGAAGGCCGCCCAGGAAAAGGCTGAACCTGGACGTTGTACCCTGCTTCCCAGGGGCGGCCACTGGGGTCTGCTGTTCCACTGCATTGTCATTTGGTTTATTAGAGGACATTTTTGTGTCTATGAGGAAATGTGTTTATCCTCCTTCTAGAGCGTTAAGAAACTGCAGCTACTGGGGGGAGCGTGCCTACAGGGTGGGGGGTTTGAACCCAGCATGGAATGCAAACCACACGCTTGACTTTTATTTTTTAACTCATCAAATCCAGATGCCCCTGTGGCACCAACTTCTCACACTCTTGACACTCACAGCTGAAGTTCCCCGCTTTAGCTTGTTCTTTCTTCTTTTTTCTCCTTTCCCGAACATGGTGGAACTGACAGCTGAGTTATAAAACCCCAAGCCTCCTCTGCCTACTCCTCTGGGGGAACACAACCTCCTTTTAAGGAGAGAAAATAGAATTTCAAGTAGATACATGGGTGATAGAAATGCAGAGATTAAGGACATCAGAGGCTTCAAAATAAGCAGGCAGGGTAGGGCCCAGGGACAGGACGAGGGCTGCGGCTGGCCTTCCCTCCCCAGCCCCATGGCAGCCTATGGAGCAGGCCCCCTGTGCGGATCTAAGGCAGCTCTGGTTTGAAACTAGAAGAAATACTGTGACTCTCCCCCAGTCTGGAGAGTCGGAGAAGTAGGAGAGACCCTTCCGGCATGGTTTCTGCGCAGCCCTCCCAGGGCAGAGCAAGGATGTGCTGGCAAGTGGCAACTGCCTGCGTTTTCCGCCGCCCTCTTGGGTCTCCCGTGCAGAGCAGGAGTAAGATGGGTGGCCTCAGGAACCACTGGCCATGTCAGGGATAGTCAGCAGGCCACCGAGTTAGAACGAAGGGCCGGTGGGAGCCCTCAGGGGCATCAGCACTAGGAGGATTTTCAGGGGTGCAAATAAGGTGTGGACGTTGTCAGGGAGGATTGGCCTGTAAATGATTCAAAAGAAAGCAGAGAATCAAGAAGTGGGGGGGCCGGCACAGATTCTCCCTGCCAGTGACCTGGGGGTCTCCCTCCCTTGAGGGACGCACGCAACAAGGACAGTAACAGGAAGCCCAAAGGTCCACTCTCTCCTGGTGCCAACAGGGCTGGGTGAGCTGCACTAGCTCCAGGGGACGGGCAGGTGGCTCCCCAGGGGCTACCACCGTGGGCTCTCTGGCCAGCATGGGCAGGAAGAGGGGTGGGGGGGGTCAGTCCGTGTTGTTCTCAGGTCTGGAGGTGGAGGGTGACAGGGCAGCCTGTCCTGCCCCTGAGCCCTGGCCAGGCACGTGCCCCAGCCGCAGGCCCCTCCAGGACCCACAGGCTGAGGAGGGCCCTCGGCCAGCAGACCCCAGCGGCCTTAGCACCGTGTTCCTGCTTCCACTTGGCTTGGCTTGGATCCAGTTCTTCCTCACCTTCCCCTTGTCTCCCCCTTGCTCCAGGACTCCCCTGAGGACATGATCTGCCCTAAGCAGAACCTCTCTGTCCTCCTACACCGGGGCCTGGACTCATATAGGGCTCACTTAGAGTGCGCCCCCTACACCTTCTAGGGTCTCCTGCAGCCTGGAGAGGGTCGGGGCCTCCCAGAGGCCCCAGAGCGGCGGGGGGGGACTAGCAGGGGAACAGCTTCAGTGTCTGAGGTGAGGCAAGGGCTGCAAACAGACACTGTCCGCGGGCTAAGCAATGCCCCTATCCCCCACCGTCCCTGTAGCCACGTGGGAAGAGGTGGCACAGCAAGACTTTCGGAGTCCTGAGCTGCCAGGGCACAAGATCCCTGCGGTGGGCAACCCACTCCAACCCTAGTCTCTGTCAGTCCACCCTGCCCACCAGGACCCCCAGTGCAATCATACCTGGGGCTGGGATGGAGGCCACACCCGCCCAGCCACCTTGCCGAGAGCCAGATCCCATTCGGGATGCATGGCACCCGGCCAGGCCAGACAAGAGGGGGGCTGGGGCTGCTTCCTCAGCATGCAGTCAAGGAGGGTGCGCCCAAGGCAGCTAGCTCTCAGCCTCAATTTCAAAGCGTATGGAAGTTCCTCATGGAATCTTCTGTTGCTCCACCCAGGGGGTTAAGAACTAGGACTGAAGGAGAAAAGGGGAGCACAGATAAACAGGGTTATGGGCTCAAGGGCCTGGGCACAGCTTGGCTCTGCATTGACCTCCGGCCTGGGTTGTCTCCCTGGAAGAGGTGGGCAGCTGGCCTCCCCATCTGTGGCCCAGGGGAGAGAAGCTGGTGCAGCTAACCCTGCCCTGCCCTGCCTCCACCCCAAGCAAGGGCTCTGTTGCTCAGAGCAGGGCACACCTCGTTCTTGCCCTGCCCCTCTCTGTTGCTGTGTTAACTACCACCTCCTATTGCCGATGGATTCCAGAACGCAGAGGAGAACTCCCGCATCTCCATCACCTTCTTCCGCCTCTTCCGGGTCATGCGTCTGGTCAAGCTGCTGAGCCGCGGGGAGGGCATTCGGACCCTGCTGTGGACCTTCATCAAGTCCTTCCAGGTAACCACCTCCACCCTCAGCAGGCTGCAAGGAGAGCCTCCGCAGCTTACCTGGGCTCCCTGAGCGGGGAGGTGAGGCAGCGCAAGGAAGCGGCACCACCGGGAGCCGAGGACGGGCTTACCTTGCTACTCAGCCTCCCTCTCTGCCCTTGCTTTCCTCTGGTCTATAATGAGACCTTTGGACTCCATCCGTGGTTTTCAAAAGCATTCTCCTGGAGCCCCAGATTTCCCCAAAGTTGGGGTACAGAAGGCTGGGAGCTAAGGGGGAGGCTGAAGTGGTTCTGCTTTCTTCTCTCATCCGTGCATTTTTCCACAAGAATTTACTGCACAAAGAGGTTTTGTGGTGGAAAATTTTTGAAAAACATGGGCCCAGATGATCTGATAACCTCAGGGACCCTCCCACTTTGGGCAGTTTTAGGATCCATCTGTCACCTTCCTCCCAGTAGGTATTTCTGCAATGTCTGCTGTCCACACCTGTTTGTATACCTAGCCAAACTCTCCAGGACCCTCGTGTCACTCCACTCAAGGAGACACGGCCCCCTCACAGGGGCACAGGGTTGCCTAACTATAGGATTAATTCTCTTTTCTCAGCCATTATTTTCCAACTGTGAAAGCAGAATAATGATCGCCCCTGACCATCTCTGAGGAGTGTTATGTAAGTTTGAAGTTAAAGAGAAGCAAACCTGTGAGGTCACTTGAATTCCTTGAAGATGAGTGGTGTAGGGACCCCTGCATGTACTTCCACGCTTCTGTAGCCCCACACTGACGGCAGCTTCATCCCACCCGCGGAAACACCACTCTCAGGCTTCCGGGCACTGAAGGATTCCTTCCTTGTCCCCGGCCCTAGCCAGTCTGGGCCCAGGGACAGGCACAGAGTGGGTCCCTGATCCAAATGTGCTCAGAACTGAAGTTGCAGCCAGAGGAAGGGCTCTGTGGTCAGGTGCCTGCCTTGCTCTGGAATCCCCTCCCGAAGGCTTACATAAACACCCTTCCAGGCAGCCTCCTGCCCTGGGCCTCATCCGCCCAGGCCCTTCACTGGACCAGCCTGGCTGCACTCCCCATAGCCAGTCCTCTGCCCACTAGGCCTTCCTGATGAGCTGCAGCTGCCCTCCCTGCTAGCCCCATCCCACCCCACCCTATCCCACCGGTGGGTGCCATACCCTGCCCAGTCCCTGGGAATCTGAGGATTCTGGGGAGAGCAGGACTGGGGGCTGACCCTGTCCGTGGGCGCACCCCTGGGGTCCCATAGCCATGATGACTATATAGGCTGCCAACTCCCTCCCCCCTCCCCGCCACACACACACACACACACACACACACACACACACACACACACACATATTTCCTAGGAAAAGGCAACAGACCCAGGTAAGGAGAGGTTTGAATGTGGAGCTGCAGCTCTAACTGGGCAGAAGCAGCATCCGTGTGCTCTCGCAGTGCCATCTAGTGGTGTGTGGACGCCTGGCAAGGCTTTTCCTAGTCAACCGTGTGGCTCTCTGGCTTCCAGAATAGGTCCTGAGCCCCAGAAGGCCTCTCCCCAGGAGAAGCGGCAGGGACTCCGGAAATTTAAGTTGTCTGAGCTCCAGGCAGAGTGAATAAAATATATGGGACCCAAATACGTGGAAGGCATTGCACTCAGCCTTTTGTAAGCCTTAAAGCATTTAAACGCCACAGAACCCCTGAGAGGTAATTACATTTCTTCTCATTTTTCAGCAAAGGAAACTGAGGCTCAGAGAGGTTAAGTCATATGGCCAACCTCCCATAACTAGAAAGTGGCAGAAATAGGATTTGAGTCCATGACCTTTCTTCTACTTAAGTTTTTCCTTAGTGATTATTTTTATTACGACTAGCAGGATATCATCAAAGGAAGGGTGTAACCTGCCTCCAACCCACGCCTCCCCAGGAAACCTTGGTGTGTATCCTCCACGGCTTTCTCCTTGCTGTACAAAAACCTATGTCTAGTCAGAGGACATTTTGCTCATTCTTGACTGTTTTTACTCAAGCAGTATCCCACCATATGTATCCCTTACTCTGCAGCCTGCTTTGCTCGGTACACCACACTGCTTCTCAGGTGATTGAAACCAAGGGAAAATGAGAGGTCAGTGCCGTGGTTCAGGCCTTCTCCTGGTGCCCAGAACTTCTGTGGGGCTCTTGGAAATGCCCCTCCCAAAGCCAGGCCTCAGCGCCCCCTGGGAAGGGATCTGGCCAGCCATCCCCCTGCCCGCCTCACGCCCTGTCTCCTGTGCTTCCTTCCAGGCCCTGCCTTATGTGGCTCTTCTGATAGTGATGCTGTTCTTCATCTACGCAGTGATCGGGATGCAGGTAGGACAGCTGGCCCGCTGCGCCTCGGCCTCCTCTTTCTCTTCCCACCTCCCAGCCCCGCGTTCCGGGACACCTCTCTCTTGTTCTTGACGGTCCCTCTGCTTCCACTTCTGAGGCCAAGAATGTCACAGGAATTAGAACATCCCTTCAAATGGTGTCCTGTAGGTAGCAGGGTCAATGGCCATGTGCTGTACGCACCTTCTTTCCCCTTTGCCCCAGGCCTGGTCTCTGCTCTCGGTCGGGAAAAACACTCCCAGATTAACGCCAAGGGCCTCAGGAGAGACAACCCCTTCCAGAAAACAACACGAAGGGTGTGTCAGACAGCATCCCTCCCCTTACCCAGGTCTGACAGCCTGAGAACTGCCCCCCCACCCCAGCACATTCAGGAGAAGCTAATGACAGAGAGGGATGGAGGAAAGAGGGAAAGAAGAAAGGAGAAGGAAGGAAAGAGGGAGTCAGGGAGGCAAGCTCCCCCCATCAAACATGCAGCAGTTTCAAGGGCCTCCCCTCGCAGGTGCCCACTGCACCTTCCGCTACCTCAAACCCTGCGGCATTCTCCAAGCAGCCTCTCCTCCGGACTTCAGAGAGTGCCAGGGCCCTGCACTCACACCAGCCAGGACTTTTCCTCAGTGGCTCCCGAAGGAAGACTCCCCTGCTTATTCTTTGCAGAAAGACCCCAGATTCCTAGGCCAAAATCTTCTGAGATGAGAAGAGCTACCCTGCCCCCTCACCAAGGGCGGCAGCTTCTAAGATAGGCATAGCTCTAAAAGGCCAGAAAAATAAGGGGGCCACTCATTTCAGGGATAGATTAAGCTTGCCCACGTCCCAGATCACTCCGAAATCCAAGAACTGTATTTGGAAGAGTGGGCATCTGGGCTGAAATGGCAATGAAAAGAAAGCCAGAGGCTTGAGTTCTGAGGACCTAATGGTGACTGTAATTGATAACAGTGCTGTTTACCTGAAAGTGGCTTTCTCACCACACCAAAAAAAAGCTCCCTATGTTAACTGTGTGAAGTGATGGATGTGTTAATTATCTTGGTCTTGGTAATGATTCTATGAGCATTGTACATCAAATCACCACCACACCATACACTTTAAATATATACAATTATATTTGTTCATTATTCCTCAATAAAGTTTTTTTTTAAAGAGAAAAAATATGTATTCTCAAGAATCTGCAGCCAAAAAAGAAGAAGAAAGAGACCAGAGAGCCCTCTGTCCCCACACAGAAGCATGCTGCTGGTGGCAGCATCCACCTGCTCTCAGCCCAACTCCCAGTGGCCCGTAGGGACCTCTCCTGAGGGACCATGGGTTTTTTCTTCTTCCACCTATCCAGTGTGGTGGATGGAGATCAAGGGCTGGATGGGGCAGCAGGTGCCTACCCCCACAAGGCCCTGCCAGGTCACATCAAGGGACTCAGTTCAGCTATGGGCTGACCCACAGCCAGCCATGACCCCCGAAGAGACCACTGAACGATGAGTGGACACTAGGACCCTGTCCATCCACCATTCACTGAATCTCCTTCCCCTCCCCCTGCTTAGGTGTTTGGGAAAATTGCCCTGAATGACACCACAGAGATCAACCGGAACAACAACTTCCAGACCTTCCCCCAAGCTGTGCTGCTTCTCTTCAGGTGAGTCTTTGAGGACAGATGTGTACAAACACACCTACATGACACAGCCCTGTGGTCTGGACATAGAATGAGAGGGAACCCTTCCAGGGGAGTGGGCAGGGAGAGAATGGATGCTGGATCTCCCTCCCTAGACTAGAAAGCTGGTGTTCCATTGCTATTTGTAATACTTTCCGTTGAAACATACCTGCCAGCAACTACCCGAAAACACTAGAGGATCACAAGTCGAACACTGACAGCACCCTGGTCTGGAAGCCAGACAGGCTCAAAGCCAAGCCTGTGACACATTCACTTTGGGTAAGACACCTAACTCCCCTGAGTCTCGGTTCCCTCACAAACAAGTACAGCTGCCAACGTCGATGCCATTTGCTCTATTGGTTACCATGTCCTCATGCACTTAGTATCCTCCTCAGTTAAACCAGCCACGAGGCTTCACCCTTCTCGGAAGGCTACTGCCTCAGGCCTAGCTGGGGAAAAGAGTGTTTCTCAGCCTGCTCCTGACTGAGGGAGTCCATGCCGCAGCCTGCTTCTTCCTCATCGGACTCCTGATGACCCCCTTGCTCTGCCCCCTTGGTTCTTCTCACTGTCCTGGGCTGCTGGAGGAGACCATCTAGACCATCTAGACCAGGGCTGGTAGATGAGAACTATTTACCCCATCCCTGGAGCAGATGATTTCTAAAGCCCATTCCAGCTCATGTACTCTACATAATATGGCACTGGGAAAGGCAGTGAATTCCCTACCATTCCCTGGGGTCCCTCTCCAGAAGATCCAGAGATCCACTGTATCAGAGAGCTCCACCTTCACCAAGTTCTATAGAATCCTTTCCCCACACCCAAGCCCAAGTATCATTATTGCTCAAAATGTATTAAATCAAAATGATAGCTCTTTAAATATGTTAGACATTACCACCTACCTCAGACTGTAGACTTTGAGAACACAAAGGCCACTGTAAACCACAATTTAACAGCAACACTTAAGCCTGTGCCATATTTAAATATCAGAGCTGAACGCAGATATAAGACCGAGCACATGGCTCTATCTCCCCTCCTTTCCTAAAGTCCTTGATGACAGAAGATATTTCTTAAAAGAATAAACCCATAACAGTACTAAGAAGGGGCAAGAAAAAAAAAAAAACCATGGAAGAGTGCTATTAGTGAACCAGGAATGCTGAGGAATTTCTAAGTGGAAGAAATCAGAAGGGATTCAATTGACAAAGGAACAAGATCTGAGGAAAACCTATCCCCAACAATGCATGGTCTATGGAAGAAGTGAGAGCAGTTCCAGGATCGACAGGTAAAAGGTCCAGGAGTGACCTGGGGCCACAATGAGGCTGGCCCCTCAAGAGACCTGTGTTTGCAGAGCAGTTGCTAATGCTCACAAGCTGAAAGCAGCAGCTCTTGACATCACGCCCCTGGGCTTTGGGGTCTGAGAAGTAGAGTAGGTCCTCCCAAGGAACCCCACCCTCAAAGATGTGCTACCTGCCCACCTCACCTATTGGCACATGTTCTCTTTCCCTTCCATGATCCCCAGAGAGGCCCTGTAATGAGAACTTGATCCACAGAGATGTGAACTGTGTCCTCAGTCACAAAGAACAGTCAATAATAATCCCAAAGTATTTGGGGGAAATGAATATCAATAAAGAAAGGCACCATGCTCAACTAGCAGATGAATGAGCACATGAGGAGGAAAAAGAATATATAAAGCCAGAAGACTTGAAAATAAATATAATTCATATCTTTAGAGAGGTTGCAGAGCATATCTGTTGAATTAAAAAGCAGGAGGCAGAAAAAAAGTCATTATTATTAAGAACAAATTAAAGAGGGAACTCAGAAAAACATCCTTGTTGAAATATTCAGAAAATGGGCACAGCTAAAGAATAAAATAATGAGCTAAAGGATCAAATCTAGGGTTCTCTCAGTACACAGCCAAAAGGACAGAAAGATTGAAAATATAAAAGTTAACACATAGAGGGTAGCACTGAAAATCCCATCTTTCTAATACAAATTCAAGTAAAAATAGCAGAATGAATGGAGAAAATGAAATCAAGGAATGATCAAAGAAAATTTCAAATAAAGATATGAGCCTTCAGGTTGAAATGTCCTACTAAGTGCAGAATAGGTTTGTCAAAAAGTCCCTTCATCAGACACAGTATGAGGAAGTTTTAGAATACCAAGAATAAAGAAAATATCCTAGAAGCATCCAAAGAGAAAAAAGTGAATTATTTTCAAAAATACCAATTTTCATTAGACTTCTCAATAGCAAAAGTACACACTAGAAGACAAATAATGTATGCGATATTATGAATAAAACGTATTTTTGAACCAAGACGCCTGTAATATAGCCTAATTAGCATTCAAGTAACGAAGCAAAATTGATTCCAAAAGTGTAAGAACTCAGAAAGTTTACTCCCTTGCATAAACCTCTGAAACAACTACACAAGGATGCACTTCTAAAGAATGAAAAATTAATCTAAGAAATTGAATGAACAGAGTAATGATATTAGTAAAGAAACCATAAAGTTTATAGTTATGAGTTATGTGCAAAGAAATCACAAACCTTATATTGTCTAAATAATTGTTAAGGGAGTTATTAGTTATTAAATAATTATTGCTAATTTTTAAGTATAATAATTACTTTGTGGTTATGTAAAATGTATTGCTTTATTTTTGAAGTATTTAGGGTTGATATAATGATATTACATGAGGCGTGGGATTTGCTTTAAAATATTCCATCATGGAGATAAAAGATACAGAATAGGTAATATAGTCAGTGGTACTGTAATACTGTTGTATGGTGACAGATGGCGGCTACACTCGTGGTGAGCAGAGCATAATGTATAGACTTGTTGAATCACTATGTTGTACACCTGAAACTAATGTAACAGTGTGTGTCAATTTTTTAAAAAAGATTTATTCATTTTAGAGAGAGAGGGAGAGAGAGAGTGCATGTGTGCAAGGGGAGGGGCAGAGGGAGAAGAAGAGAAGCAGACTCCCCGCTGAGGAGGGAGCCCCATGCTAGGCCCCGCACTGGGCTCAGGCTCAGGTTCCATCTCAGGATCCTGAGATCATGACATAAGCTAAAATCAAGAGTTGGATGCTTAACCAACTGAGTCACCCAGGCGCCCCTCCTCTTTCAATTTTTTTAAAAGGTGAGAGTGCAAAAGAATAAAATATAAAATAAAATAAAATAGTAAAGTAAAATAAAATAAAATAAAATACTTCAGCCAAAAGGGGAGAAGGGGATTGTTGGAGAGATAGATGAAACACACACAACAAAATATTAATGGTTGTTAAGATTGGGTGATGGGTCCATGGGGTTTCTTTGTACTTTCTACTTTTGTATATGGTTAAAAACTTTTGTAATTAATTTTTTAATAAAAAATAATAACTGTTAAAGCAAAATGTCCAAAACCTTATTAGCAATTTGGAAGTGAAATCTCTTACACTCTCAACAAGGTAGGAAGAATGAGATGGTAGAAGAATGAGAAACATCAAAGTGTGCTGACATTCTTCTCTTGTTTATGGAGAGGAAAGAGGTACCATTCAACTTTATACACAGCCAGAGGAAAGTGTGTAAATAAATATGTTAAATATTTGAAGGTCAACCACTAGAGAAACAGAAATGGAATATGTACATTCCAAATCACTAGATGGAAAAAAAATAGCAAGGGAAAACCTTAGCAATTCTGCAAAAGGAAGGAAAGAAAAAAGAAGGAAGGTGGGGGTAGGGAGGAAAAGAGGGGGACAGGGAGGAAAAGAAAATTAGAAAATAAAACAAGATGGCAGGAATAAAAAACAAAAATTAATCACTAAAAATTCAATTTCTCTATTAAAAGATAGATACTCTAATGTTGACTTTAAGAAGTCTGGCTGTAGCCTGTTTATAATAAAGTAAAATAAAGGAATGGGAAAATAAAGGAATGGAAAAAGAATACCAGACAAACTTCCAAAAAAAAAAAATAGGTGTAGTAATAACAAATCAGAAGAAATAAAATTCCAGGTGAAAGGCATTAAACAATACAAAGAGGGATATTTGATATTGATAAAAAGTATAATCCACCAAGATTACAAAACAATCATAAAACTACATGAGCCTAACAATATAGTTTGGAAATATATCAAGGAGATGAAAAGAACAGTAAGGAAAAAATGAACACACACACACAATGGGAGACATGTAAAAAAAAAAATGACAGAGCAAAAAGAACAAAATAAAAGAAAGGGTAAAGAAGATCTAAAAATACAACTGACAAATTTAAGTAAATTTGTAATCAATAGCAAAAAAAAAATTCTTTTTTTTTTTAAGATTTTATCTGTTTATTTGACAGAGAGAGAGCGAGAGTACAAGCAGCGGGGAGCAGTAGAAGGAGAGGGAGAAGCAGGCTTCCCGCTGAGCAGGGAGCCCGATGCGGGGCTCGATCCCAAGACCCTGAGATCATGACCTGAGCCGAAGGCAGACGCTTAACCATCTGAGCCACCCAGGCACCCCAAAAATACATTCTTTTTAAGCACCCAGAAACATTCACAAAAATCAGCCAAGATTTAAGTCACAAAGAAGAATTCAATAAATTCTAAAACTTCTCTAACTTCAATACAACAAAAATCGGAAATAAACTACAAAATCAGTAGTCCCTCCAAAATCTATCCACTTAAATGTTTTGAGTCACTGTTCTAAATAACTCACAGCTGAAGCTGCATACTTCTTAAAAATGGAAGAGTGAGAGCAGTACATCTTAAATTTATAAAACACACCAATCAATACCAAAGAAAATTTCAGAGCCAAAATTTATTTTACAAAATCTATAATAACCAAAATAATGGATGGAAGAAGAATAGCAAAATAACCCCAAAGTATGAAAGAATTCACTTATTAAAATAAAAGCAGAAATTAATAAAATATAAAACAAAAATATTTATCAATAAACCCTAAAACTCTTTGAAAAGACCTATAAATAGACAAACCTATCAAAACCAATTTTTTTAAAAAGGCACAACATCAGGAA